CTCTTTCTCTCACACACACACATACACACACACAATATCCATGCCAGTCTGCGGCATGCCTGCTCCGTACCAGCTGTGCCCTTCTGTGTTGTTTGGGAGGGAGAGGGGGGGTGGGGGCTGTGAAGGACTTTTGATTGGTGGAAAGCAAAGCTGCTCATTGTTGCATCATCTCCTTCACAACAACCTAAAAAATGTTTGACATCGACTGGCTTTCATGAGCCTCAGAGTTCGTAATAATTTAGTAGTCTGTTTCCAAATTTAGCTAAAGTGCAGCACAGATAACACACTGCGTATACACAGTATCATTACAGAGAGCGCTTCATTCAATAATGGTTTTAATTTCATCTAGATGAAGAAAACACACAGACTGTTTTTGGAATTTGGAGTCACTATGTTTGAATAGTTAGAAGAGTGAGAGCATAAAATGTAAAATTGGTCTTCAGTGTAAAATGAAGCATCATGTGGCCTTATGTAATCCATTTGATTAAATCAGTTCGATATGTATCTAACCTGCTTGAATAATGGATTTGTAATTCACTACAGACTTGGAGGTTGTACTATACAGGACTGTTGGATAACTTGTGTCAGCTGACAGTTATCTGAAGTGGTGAGAATAAGAATGTTTTGCAGACAGACAGAGGACGGGCACATAAAAGCAACCTGAAGGTTACATTTTCTGATAGAAATGGACCAAAAGAGGTGCCAGTAATTCACACAACCCTAACCACATAATACCCCTAACCAATACTTAAAAAAAAAAAAAAAATTTCAGAGCTGTTTTCTCAGTGTTAAGCTAGCTAAGGGGGTGATAATTACCAACCCTACTCTGCTACTACTCTGCCTCTGATCGGCTCTGGCCCCAACATATTTTTCTAATCTTGACCTTATCTATATAGCTCTGAACCTAACCAACCAAACCAATGAATACAATGAACACTAGCCAATAAGAGACAGAGGAGTGTGCATCTTCCCGGAATGGGAAACAAAAACTATCTTACGTGGGTGTTTAGGGGTGCTTGATTCACCAGAAGGTGACGGTTCGCAGTAAGAATTAGGGGTACTCATGTGGAAATCAGTACTTTACTCTCTAATACTAAGAGTACTGGCTCATTGAGACACTGTTTCAGACACTATTAGCCTCAGCTGTACTTTAAAGCTATAATATATAACATTTTCACATTAAAATGTCTATAAACACTACACCTGTAGTATATATTTAAAGTTGTTTACTTACATTATCCCAAAATGTTTACAATAACCCAAAACCCAAGTTTTGCATGTACTTAAAAAACACACTGTATTGCCAAATATTATGTGAACAGGGTATCTTCACACTTTTGGTATGGGGTTGTTTTTTATGGTGTGAGCTAACCGACTAAAACTGTAGGTCAGGCCTTTTCACCCGACATCAGTGTTGGACCTCACTATAGTGCTCTGAATGGGAGCAAATCCCTGCAGCCGGTTTCAGGAATCTTGTGGAAAGCCTGAAACAAGAAGTGTGAGAGCATAGGCCAAAGAGCTTCTGGGTGTAGCAATTACTTAACAGAATGAACCATAATGGAAATACAAAGATCATTCCACACAAAATTTAACACCAGCAATCTCATCAACATACTCACATTTGAACTCAGTGTTACAACACTTTCAATTTAATCTCAATTTGTTTAAGATGGCTACATGTGACCTACCTTGTTTGGAAAAAAAAGCTTCCTTTTTAAAAAACTGTTATTCTCAGAAATAATTTTAATTTATTAAAGCTGCAGTAAATAACCTTTTGTCATATCTCCTGAAACTTTCACTTTATCCTGACAGTAGAACATGATACAGATAATCTGTGAAAAAATCAGGTTCTTCTGGCTCCTCCTAGTGCTCCTAATGCTATTTGGAAGAATCCACTGAGCCTGGACAAAAACAACCAATCAGAGCTGAGAGAGATATAAAGACACTTGGTTGGAGGCTTGAAGATAGTTGATTGTCATTCCCAGGTTCTATAAATGCTGGGAATGAGACTCAACAATCATCTACCTTTGGGCACCCAGATAGTTCACCTGGTAGAGCTGGTGCCCCATGTACAAGGGCTGAGTCCTTGCTGCAGCGGCCACAGGTTTGAATCCTATCAGTGGCCCCTTGGTGTGTGTCATCCCCTCTTTCCTGTCTATCTCTAGCTGTTATATCTAATAAAGGAAGAAAAAACCCAAAATATATAAAACCCCCCAAAAAACAATAAACTGTCTTCAAACCTCCAACCCAAAGCATCTTAATATCTTTCTTGGCTCTCGTTGGTTGTTTTATTGGAGCCTGATTTTTTCACAGATTATCTGTCTTATGTTCTACTGTCAAGATATGGGGAAAGTTTCAGCAAATATGACAAAAAAAAAAAAAGAAGTTGTGCAGCATTAATACAAAGAATCAATTAGTGATTAGTTAGAGTGAATGTGACATGACATACTTTACTTTCAGATATACTTGTATTAAAGACAAATAAGCAATATGGAACTATTTTCCTGCTCTGTGCCATGTGCAGATATTTTTGTGACCAATGAAACCTGAGTGTGATGCGTATGATGCTTTTGCAGCTATGATAACATCCAAACATAGAATTTAGAGCCCCATTGATGGAATCAATAATGAAAGCTGGTGGAGCTGAGTGACATAAGACTGAACTCATAACAATGTCCAGGTTAATTTGGGTGAAAAACTAAAGCCTGATCCCAAAATATATAATGTATTTATTTTTTAAATCCTTCATATTAGCTTGGGTGTGTGTACGTCCATCTGTCACATGTAGTGTTTACTAAGTAGAAATAAAACCTTAAATGTCAGATTCTCACACAGCTTGATAAAGAAAAAGTAGGCAAACAGATATCAAATAATTTTTAATGTTGTAAATGAATGTCAAATAGCCACAAACACAAACAGCTTTGAGCCACTGAGATGCCATTCTCTGATTGTGCCATGAATGATTTGTCACAGAAAACAAGACAAAGAACAACCGTGCCCATTAAAAACCCACCACCAGCATTATAAAATACACCATCAAACTCTCATCTGGGGCACTGCGACCCCCGTGCCTTATTCAGCTTTACATTCAACACTGTGCTGTGCCAGAAAAAAATATGGCTGCCTTGCAAACAGGAAATAGCCTACTGCGTGTGCAGGGCCTCACATGATGTCTCTCAGATACGCTAATTAGGGCCGGATTGTGGGCTACAGCCGTAAAGTCACTGTGAAGGGGAGCTGCAGGGAGCAACCAACAAAAACAAGAGAGGACATTGTCATCACAGGGATAGCAGTCTGGGACTTGGGGTCCTAAACCTTTGGTCTTCAAGGCACAATTTACTGGGCTGTGTTAAAGCTGCAGTAGGTAACTTTTTATTAAAATTTTTTTTATTTTTACTGAAACTTTCACTATATCCTGACAGTAGTACATGAGACAGTTGTGAAAAAATCTGGTTCCTCTGGGTCTGAATTAAGCAATCAATCAGACGAGAAAGATAGGTCTTTCCCAGGTCGTCAAATATCAATGCTGGGAATGAGACTCAACAATCAACTATCTATAAGCCTCTAACCCAAAGAGTTTTTCTATTTTTCTCGGCTCCGATTGGTTGTTTTCATTCAGGC